TTTTTTTGTTAAGGCGTTATAGGGTTTAAGAGGACTGACTCCAATTTTGAGCGAAATTCTACTGTAGGTAATATGCTATCAAACAGCATACTCCAGAGAAAATTTTTGTGAAGGGGAGAGTCAATCAATCCAGCAAATTTTACTGTTGTCTTCTTTTAAGAAATTGCCACAGCCACTTCAACCTCTGGCAACCACCACCCTGATCAATCAGCAGCCATCAGCACAGAAGCAAAGCCCTTTACCAGCAAAACAATTATGACTCCCTGAAGGCTCAGATGATTGTTAGCATTGTTCAGCAATAAAGTTCTTTTTTTTTTTCTCCCTGAGACAGGGTCCTGCTCTGTCACCCAGGCTAGAGTGCAGTGGCACAATCATAGCTCACTGCAGCCTCAAGCTCCTGGGCTCAAGTAATCCCCTTGTCTGAGCCTCCTGAGTAGCTGAGACTACAGTCATGGGCCACCACACCCATCTAATTTTTAAAATTTTTGTAGAGATAGGGTCCTGCTATGTTGCCTAGGGTTGTCTTTGTCTCGACCCTCGGGACCTTCTGTTACTCGTGGGGGCGAGGGGGACCGTGCCTGAAAGAGATGAGCGAGAGAAAGAAACGAGACCAAGCGAATGATTGTCAAGGTCTGCTTTACTTAGATTCTTAGTAGGTTTTATAAGCATACAAAAACAAGGAAGTAGAGGCAAAAAAAATAGAGTGTTGACGATGAGGCTTGGGTCTGGGTTAATCAGCCCCAATCAGCGTCTTATCGGTATCCTGTTTTTGACTGGTTACTCATCTCCAACCTGGCAGGTGGTCGGGAACAATTGCAGTCAGCACACCCTGGAGCATCCCGTGGTCAGCACGTCATGGACTGCATTCTTCTCAGAGCTATAGCTGGAATTTTCCAGGGCGAAGTCCGTGTGTAGGACGAGTCATAGGGGAGTTGAGGGTCTTTGAGGGTCTTTGCCTCTAACAGTCTTGAACTCCTTGCCTCAAGCAAACCTCCTACCCTGGCCTCCCAAAGTGCTGGGATTACAGGTGTGAGCCACCACACCCAGCCAATAAAGTATTTTTTAATTAAGGTATGTACATTGTTTTTTTTTTAGACATAAGGCTGTTGCACATTTAACAGACTACACTATAGTGTAAACAAAAGTTTTATACGCACTGGGAAACCAAAACATGTGGATGACTTGCTTTAATGTGATATTAGCTTTATTGAGGTAGTCTGGAACCAAACCTGAAATATCTCTGAGGTATGCCTGTATTACAGGACTGAAAGTGACAGAAGAGGGGCATGAGATAAGCTTAAAGAGTGAAACAGAGTTGTGCAGGTAATGTTAAAAATCTTGATTTTTCTTCGGAGCAAATAGGTAGCTATTGAAAGATTTTAAGATAAATTTGTATTTTTCAAATGCAGAGGGAAGTAGTATTTGATCTGAAAAAGAGTAGATGTGGGGAGAAATGTGCAATAGTCCAGTGATTGATGGTGGTGGTTTGAACCAAAGAAATGACAGTGAGAATAGATAAAAGTTAATGAACTTAAGAGATATTCAGGTAATTAATTTAATAATACTTGCTTATGGATTGAATTAAGGAAGGGATAAAGATGCATCAAAGTTTACACCCAGGTGCTTGGCTTCAGCACCTGAGTGGGTGTTAACACTGTTTAGCAAGATAGCACAGGGAGCAGGAGGTAATTTGATGGGAAATATCTCAAGTTTGGTTTTGGGCATGTTGAGTTTAAGGCACTAGTGAGACATCCAAATGGAGATATCAACTAAGCAGTAGGCTATAGAGGTTAGGCACTCAGGGCATAATTCTTAGCTGGAAATATAAAGAAAACTAAAGTTTTTGAAGCAGATGAGATTTCCTGAAGAGTGAGTATAGAGTGAAAGAGGAGAGATGTGACTTGTCTTGAGGAAATCTATCATTTAAGGGGTGGGCAAGAGGAGCCCAGTGGAACAGTAGACAACGGCTGGAGGGAAGTGTTACACCAAGGATGACTTTTTCCCCCTAAGAAGGAGGGACTTGAGAATATTTATTTGCTGGTGGGAGGGACACCAAGACAAAGGCTGAAGTTCCTGTAGAGAGGAAAAACAATTGACAACATGAAGTTCCTGAGAAATTGGAAGAGGATGAGGATTAAGTAGAAGGATTGACCTTTGACAGTGGGGACAACATTGTAACAAGAGGGAAGAAAAAAAGGATGTGCACAGAAACAGGTTTGTAAAGCTGATTTTTGAAAGGTTGTGGTAGTTCTCTGACAGCATGTGATTTTCTCTTTCAAAAACCAATGTCAGTTCATCTGTTCCATATAAAATCTTTGATTATAGAACATCATCTTTGATGATTGCCAGAATTGTGGTAAAAAGGAAATCTGGGTGAAGTGTTACAGCCTTTAATGAAGAGGGAGGTCAGTTGTAAGGGGATGTAGATGACAGCAATGAGGAAGAAGAGAGTCGGGTAGTGAGTCTTTAAGAGCAGGATTTTGCCCTGGGTGGAGAAGCAAGTGCCTAGGCAAACTCATTTGGGAACAATAAGGAAATCTATCACTTGGGTCGATAGGAATCCCAGCCGTTACACTAGAACTTCTTGGAACCAGGACTACTGCCCAATAAGTTCTTCTGAGGAGATAAAAATAACCCTACAAGCTGATCAATCAACAATGATTGATCCTCATAAACACAGAATATTGCTGTGGGGGGGGGGGGAAGGGAGGAAAATATTTCTCAATATTAACTGATTTTTGTCCTGGTATTTCTTCCTCCCCCTTTGTGTTTGAACCCTATTCTAATACCTAGGTTGTGCTTACTGCCTCAGGTAAGGATTGTGGCAAGTTGGAAAGCAAAGTGCCTCAAACACTCCCCCTAACTTCTAGTCTGCAAGTAACCTAAGCCATGGAAAGGATGGAAAGGCATGGTAGGCAGAATAACGCCCCATGCAAAGGTGTCCGCGTCCTAACCCACACAACCTGTGAGTGTGTTAGGTCACATGACATGGGGGGGAGGATAAGATTGCAGATGAAATTAAGGTTGCTAATAGCTGACCTTAAAATAAGGAGATTATTCTGGATTATCTGGATGAGCCCAATCTAATTAGGAGCGTATCCTGAATGTAGAAGAGGAAGGCAGAAGAGTCGGTATCATTCACCATGAAAAACTCGACTGACCATTGCTGGCTTTGAAGATAGAAGGGGCCCATGAAGCAAGAAATTTAGGCAACCTTTAGAAATTAGAAAAGGCAAGGAAATACATTCTCTCCTGGAGCCTCCAGAGGGAACATGGCTCTGCCAACACCTTGATTTTAGACCAGTGGGACCCCTTTCAAATTTCTGAACTCCAGAACTATAAGATAAATTCATGCTGTTTTAAGTCATCAAGTGTGTGATAATATCCTATGGCAGCAATAGAAGACTAATTCAAAAGGAAAAGAAAAAGTTTTGAGAGATGGAAATTTGAGAAGGGCATTTTCATGGTTTGGATGTTAGTGCCCCTCCAAAATTCACCTTAAAACTTAATCCCCAGTGCAACAGTGTTAAGAGGTGGAGCCATTAGGAGGTGATTAAACCATGAGGGCTCCACTCTCGTGGACTAGACTAGCATCCTTTTAAAAGGGCTTGAGGGAGTGAGTTTGGCTGTCTTCTGTCCTTCTGCCACATGAGGATGCCACGAGAAGATGCCATTGATGCAACAGGTCCTTGCTAGATACTGAAACCATCAGCACCTGATGATGGACTTCCCAGCCTCTACAACTGTGAGAAAATAAATTTCTGTTGTTTATAAATCACTCAATCTGTGGTGTTTTGTTATAGCAGTAAATGGACTAAAATAGGAATTATCTGGGAAGAGAAAAGGGCAAGCAATATCAGAGCAGAAGCAATGATAACATGGATATTAGTTAACAGGAAAGAAAAAAGTCCAGCACCCTGCCTTCCAGCCAACATACAGGCAGCCAGCAAACTTCCTGAAATAGGATTATATGATCCATGCTTCATACCTGCTGAAGGTGCAGGGAGACAGCAAGACCCCTAAGGAGAACGGTTGTGTGCTGTGTTAATCAGAGGCACCTGAACCAGCTTCATGAAGAGTTCATTTTATTTTAGCCAATAGCACTTTGGCCCCTTTATTCTAGTGCTATACTAGAATATATTAGTATATATTATTAGTATATATTATACTAGTATATTACTATCATATTATTAGTATATAACATACTAGTATATTACTAGTAATATACTAGTATATTACAAAATATGCTTTTCATCTAATGTGGTAACTTTGTAATGTGTCAATCTGGCTAGCCTGAGATAGTGGTTTTCTTTTCCTGTAAGTTAGGCTTACAGTGGTTAGGCCGGGCGACAAAGAGACTCTTGTGGAAGATGAGGAGGGCAGATGGGAAGCTGCAGCCATTTTGAAGCTCAGCTATGCTGTCACTTACTACTGGCTCTCCTCACTGGTGTGAGGCAGCAGCCACTCCCGAAACCGATTCACCTTCCCCTAGATCCTCCTTTGGCTGGACTCCTGAGACAGGCGTGGGTGCTTAGCTCCATGAAGAAAGGCCTGGCTTCTGCAGGCCACCCATGCCACAAAAGGTCAGAGACAAAAGAACTGATGTGGGTTTCAGTCTGTACTGTGGGGTCCATCTCATGCTTGTGGGTTCCAGCTTGTTCTACTTTTCCCCTTCTTTACTTCCATCTTCCCTCACCACTGCCTGCCTTGTGGCCTACAAGCTCCAGCATCAGATATGAATACAACAGCATTACAGAGACTGCTCAGCCAGCTCCCCCAATTATGTAAGGTCAAATCCTTGTGATAAATTCCTCTGTATATGCTGTATATAGTATAACACAATATGGTATAATATAATATAAAAATGTATATATACACTCTGCTCCTCTGAATCCTGAGATTTCATCGTATTTATTCCTGATTGTGTTAGTCCAGTTGGGCTGTTATAACAAAGTACCATAGATTGGGTGGCTTATAAACAACAGAAATTTATTTCTCACAGTTATGGAAGCTGGAAGTCCACAACATGGTGCCAGCACGATCAGGCTCTTGTGAAGGTCCTCTTCCAGGTTGTAGACCACTGTCTTCTCATTGTGTTCACATGTGGTGGAAAAAGACAAGGGAGCTCTCTGGAGTCTCTACTATAAGGGCAATAATTCCAGTCACAAGGTCACTGTTATGACCTAATCACCTCCCAAACGTCCCACCTCCAAATACCATCACACTGGGGAATAGGATTTCAACTTATGAATTTTGGGGGTAAATAAACATTCTTTTCAATTTCTGTGATTTGTAGCAATTATATTTAGTGCTTCTCATGGATTATTATCCTGGGCATTTACTCTTTCAATTTATCCTTCACTTTCTTTGATTGCTATTTTTCTTGAACCAGTAGAATCTGAATGACTTGTATCCAGATAAAGTAATCATTTGTTTCATAAGAAAAGTTATCTATAAAATGCCTCTCTCCACCTCTCCCTTAATATCCTCCCAAAAGCCTTGAAAGGATCATTCAAAATACATAACTTGGATATAACGCTATTATAATGAGGAACCAGCAATCCATGAATAAATTATGAACAGTGACAGAAGGCGAGGCAGTGTTTGTGATTCAGCTCAATAGAATTTGCTGGCAGGAAAACATCCTGTAATAAATCCTTTGATTGCTGGAAAACATGGTTCAAAATAAAAAATCAAGTAATATTGCATATCTAGACAGAAATATAAGAACTGACACTTGTGAACTTAGAACTCTACTCCCTGCCCCTTTTCAAACTTAATTGCATGGAAAGAGTAAGGGATTCAGAGTCAGGCCTGGTCCTCACATTCCATAGCTCTATGACTTTGAGTCAGTGCTTTAATTTTTCAAAAGCTCAGTTTTTTTAATCTACAAAATGGCAGTTATAGTATTAGCCTCATAGGATTGCTGAAAAAACTAGAAATAATATGTAAAATTTTTCTCCCACAAAAGGCACTAGGGGAATGCTTAAACTGCATGTTTTCCCTTTGTTAAAACCTTTAAAAGATATTATATCTCTTAAAATGATGTCCTAGAAAATCCCTACAGATGCACATATACCTTTCAGTTGCTTCAGCCCACTCATCTTACTTTCTGTCTGCAAGGCCAGGTTCACCCAGCCTTTTTCTGCAGACTCTGAGGTTGAACTAAAGCAATCCAGGAACTCACCCTCTCCGTCACTGGGAGGAGGGTGGAAGCTCTTGGCAGGGGGAAAGGGCCTTAGAAAAAGCAAGGCCCTAGTCCTTAATCAGAGGGTGCTGCTTTAGTAGCTGTGCCAAGCACTTGGTCACAAGACAGGTGAGGACAAAAAGAGGGCAGGTCTTTCTTGGGTCAAGCTTGGGGAGTAGACTGCTTTCTTCTCTCTGACTGCCTCTGACCATTTTTCTATCTTCTTCTGTAGGTTTTCACAGTTAAGCTACAAGCCAGGAAATTCACAAAGTGAAAATATACTGACAGCTGTGTTTGGAATCTATTAACAATGTTTTAACAATTATACACAGGGCCAGATTTGACCTGGACACTATAGGAATCATATCTCCAAAAGACTGAATGAAAATGAAGAGATCACATAAATAAAAATGATCCAAAAATTAAGTAAATTTATGAATAAGGGAAGATATGAAAACAAAACATTATCCTATTAAAGGCAATAGTTTAAAAATGTATCAGGCCAAGAGTATAAATCTTGACTTCTATAACTTTAAATAAAACTCAATTTCCCCCTATTTCTGCTGTACAGCATCCAACAATGTTTATTTTCTGATTCTGGTCACATATATTACTATTTTAGTTTAGTATTTAATGACTTTTTTTACTGTAAATGTTAATCTATTGTCCTGGTACTCATATCTGTACTGTCTATATACTTTCTACCTATGGTTGAAGTTTCTTTAGATGTATGGTCCAGAAGAGCATTATTTTCATGAATACAGACACTATTATATTCCTAAAAATGAAAAATTTACAACAGAATATTTCTAGTATGTTCCTTTTTCTCTGCTTCTAGCAATAAGCTGGAGGTAAGTAAAACTCTAGTCACAAAAGTTGGAATAAGGCAATAGAACTCTGGTTTTAATACCAAGTCCTCTCCTTTGATTAGCTACAAAATCATCCCCATAACAAAGAGATGATATTTTTCACAGACTAGATGGACAATAATTTCTTAAAAGGCTATTGAATTGGCAAGAAATTTGAGGGGAATAGGCACTTTGAATACTTCTGTTAGATTTCTAAATCAATACATCGTTCTGAAGAATAATTTGGAAAAGTGACTCAGATTCTTAAAAAGCCTGGGTGCAGTAGCTCATGCCTGTAATCCCAGTGCTTTGGGAGGCCAAGGCAGGAGGATCACTTGAGGCCAGGAGTTCAAGATCAGCCTGGGGAACATAGTGAGACTCCCATCTCTACAAAAAAACAACAAAATTAGTGTTACCACACTCCAGCTTGGGCAGCAGAGTGTAATCTTTTCTCTAAATAAATAAATAAATGTATTAAAATGTGTGTTTTTAAAAATACATATACATGTATTTATAAAAAGATTTATCATGAAGAATGTGTTTTGAATTGTTATTATAGTAAAAATTTGAGCTGGACATGGTGGCTTATACCTGTAATCCTAGGACTCTGGGAGGCCAAGACAGGAGGATTGCTTGAGGCCAGGAGTTCAAGACCAGCCTGAGCAAGAGTGAGACCCCCATCTCTATAAAAAATAGAAAAATTAGCTTGGCCTGGTGGCATGGGCCTATAGTCCCAGCTCCTAGGGAGACTGAGGGGGAAAGATCACTTGAGCCCAAGAGTTTGAGATTGCAGTGAGCTATGATGACATCACTGTACTTTAGCTCTGGTGACAGAGTGAGACCCTGTCTCAACAACAACAACAACAAAAATTGAAAGAACCTAAATGTCCTACAATAGAATATTAATGTAATAACTTGTCAAATATTAATATGACATAATACCACATGGTCATTAAATAATAAAGTATGTAAAATATTTAATTACTGTGGAAAATATAGTCAATTTTAGTTTATTTACTGAGTAGATAAACCAAAATATTATCAATACTTATTCCTGAATAAAGAAATTTTGGGTGACTTTTAGTTTCTGTCTTTGTGTTTTCTATATTTTATAATTTTTCTATGATGAATATATATTACTTTGTAATTATACTCTTTCAAGTATTAAAAACTATTTTAGAAACCCAGAATTTTAAGCATATGTATAGTTTATGTGTTTATAATTAGAATCATGAAATTTCATAGCTGAAAGAGATCACAGGGATATTCTAGTACAAATTCAAGATCCAAAGTTTGGCCTCTGTAAAGAGACACAATTTACATGAACAATTAGGCTTTTGTAATCACTAAAGTAAATTACATGGCCTCTTTAATTATTAAAATGATTCCATTTGAGCCACTTGTATTTTAATTTTTTTACATAAAAGAGGATAAACTAATAACTTGATAAAAATAAATTATCTTTTACTTTAAGAACAGAAGAAACAATATCTTACCTTTATAAGTAGTTGACTCCTTTAACATTTCAGTACAGCGTGAATAAATTCCTTTGAATTGGTATCAGATATCACAGTGTTAGAACTCTTGTGAGATAACAGATTTTCTGAAATGGATTCATATACAAGACATCAAACTGGAAATTTTGGTAATGATATTTTTTCAGTCTTTTAGAATTAAGCTTAAAATGAATTACTGTTTTGGTCTCTGAATGTAGACATGTGCCACTGACAAGTTATATGATTTTCTTGGCATTAAAAGACTTCTTTTTAAGGTAATATATCATTGAACTTCTATAGGCATTTCCTATTCTTGGAAATATTAATATTAAGCAAAGTGTTGACTGGTAAACACTGAAATTCAGTTCTCAAATTGTGTGGGTGGTTCTTCTATGGTTCTTCTATGTGTTAGCAAGTGTACAGTAAAAATACCAAAGTATTTTTATAAGGGTCACACATTCAAAATCAGACTATTCATTTATTACATAAAAATATTTTTTACAACCTACTATGTGCCAGGTAGTGTGCTATATGCTAGGGATATATCTGTAATAAGCCAGAGTCTCTGTCTTTCATGAGCCTATAGAATAGAGTAGATATGAAAAAATAAGCAAGCATTTAGATTATAGTGTGCTAAGTATTAGTACTATGACAGGAGAAGTACTAGAGGTGGGGGGAAGTAGGGTGGAACACTGGTAGAAACTATTTGCAGAACTATTTGGGAGCTACCTTCTACCTCTGCATCACAGCCTCATCTGTACTATGTACCTCCAGCTCTAGCCACAGAAGAGTGGACAAGTGGTATGCACCTTACCCAAGCTAAAACTCAAACTCGACCAGTTAGCTGTGGCAGTTAAATAAGTATGGTTATATAAAATCAGGACTGAAGTAGTTGTTTGAGACTATATATATATATATATTTTCATTTTTAAGTTTTTTTCAGAGATGGGGTCTCACTATATTTCCCAGGCTGGTCTTGAACTCCTGGGCTCAAGTGATCTTCCCACCTCAGCCCCCCAAGTGGCTGGGACTATAGAATGCACCACCACGTCTGCCTGAGGTTATATATAAGTAGAGAAAAGAAGGCTGCTCTGCACGAGTCCAGAGAGGAGAGAGGACTCAATCCGCTGGGGAAGAGTCTGCTCCTAAGGTGGCTCACTGGTGTGCCTGGGGAGGTGGTGCTGGCTATCGACAGGAGGCCACTCTGCAGCACTGCTTGAGGGATAGCAGCTGCATCTCCTGACAGTGGACAATCCAATTAACCAAGGCAGAAGCCGCAATGCCATTTATGACCCAGTCTCAGAAATCATACACCATCATGTTCACCATAGTTGTCACCAGGCCATTCCTGATTCACTGTGGAAGAAGGCTATAGAAGGCTCTCCTCTCTTGTTAACAACTGGAAAGAAAGCCAGTTACCTGCCTAGACTGGGACTGTCACATAGTAATACTGGATTTGGTGGCAGCAGCACTAGTGGCGCCACTGAGAGGGGCACTGTCAATCTCTCTCGAATGGGCAGGCAGGTGTGTATAAGAAGGAAAAGGAAGAATGAGATTAAATTTGCCCAAATTTGAAGATCAATTCAGATAACATCAGGGTACAGAGAGAGTCTATGTAGTCTCAAACAGAAAACCAAAACAAAGAAAAAGCAACTACAACATAAAAGAGACTCAGACTTAGGGCTTGCTAGGACTATAGTGACCCCTGCTGGAGCCTATCTTATTTTTCAAATAAAAACCTAAATAAGGGCTTGTGTGAGGAAAACAAAAATTTTCACAGAATAATCGACTTTGAGAGTTGGGGGAAGCCTTAGAGAACACTTAGCATTACCTCTTTATTTTATAATTGACGAAACAGGCCTTTGGCTTGGAGAGGTCACAAGGTGACTTGCTTTAGGTCACACAGTTGGGATTGCCAGAATATAAAGATACCTGCTTAATTCTTGGGCCTGTTTATGCCAGTGGAGCTTTATGTCACAACAAATAAAAGTATCTATAACACACAGAATTTGAAGGCCAAGCAAAATTTCAGGAATTTACACTGATTTAAAAATATTCACTTGATCTTGTTAACTGGGACTCAATTTTGCTGAAAGAGAATTTCTGATTGATATAAACATGATACTTCTTTTTTCTTTGGCTGTTATGAGTTTATACAAATTTGCATCGGACTCAAATTTATTTTTGGAACGTTAAGTTGTTCTGTTCTTCGCTAGATTACCTATGTTCCCCATCTCTGCTATGTTAATCTTTTTGACATAGTTCTTTGGACTTGAATATGTTTTAATGCCCTTTCTCATAATTTGCCTGTAAAACCTATTGATAATATGCTAAGAAAAAGAACATAAAGGAAATAGTAATGGTTCTTATGCTGGGATTTTCTGGAAAGGCTGACTCTGATTTTTATCCTCTACTCAGTGCTCTGGGATCACCCATTCCTAAATGCTCCCTGATTCTGCACGTTCCTCCCACCAATCAACATTTCTTCTTCTCCACTCCATAAATCATGACCATGGGATTTGGGCACTTATTCTCCTGTCACTGTACTCGAAGGCAAAATCCTGGTTCCTGCTTATATTCTTAGGTACTTATGGAAGCTTTTGCAAAGCCACTTTACTCCTTCCACATTTCAGTTCTGTCTTTAAAATAAGTATAATAATATCAGCTATACTTACTTCACGGTATTTTGGTGAAGATCTCTGCAATTTTTTCCTCTCCAGCCATTCAAGCAGGCTGCCAGATTCTCTTTCTGTTTGTTTGTTTCTGGAATTTTTTGCATGGGGAAAACAAGTTATCTGTGGTTTAAAAAGTCTTCTTATCTTTTCCAGAAAAGATTGTGGTAGGAGCCCTGGAGAAGAGAAGGAGAGGAGGGCTTTAAGTAAAGAGAACAAGATAAGAAGTTTGTTTCATTCTGATTAGGAAGATTACAGAGATTTATTGGCTTCATGACCAATGGGAACACGGTAGAGCCTACTCTGAGGCCGTCCCTGAGGAAGGTAGCAAGACCTTAGGTTGGATGGCTTCATGATGTATCAAAACCTGACCGTCCACTTTGCCTGGCAGACAGACAGACAGAAGTAG